TGAACTCACAACAGGTAGTGACCAAGGAAATAAAGGGATTATTTCTATTGGCAACATAATTGCATGGTAGATGCAGTAAGTGGTGCCCAGAGTGAGCTCATTTACTGTTGAGCAATAAGTGTATGTGCCTTTATCATGTTAACCAACAAGTATGAAGTGCCTACCCTGTGCCTGTGTGTGTGCACAAGGGATAGAAAGGGTTGCCAGACAGACTCCTAAGACCATAAAAGTTCCCTCCAGGAACTTACCTCTAGATGTCAAGGTTAGAGGTAATGTGGAGTAACAGCAAGAACAAGCTTGAATTCTATATTCAGTCCCAGGGTTGAATTCTCGTTTGCTGCTTAACCGCCACAAGCCTCAGATTTTCTATCTGCAATATGAGGATAATCACTGCTACCTGGGGCCTCCCCGGTGGCACAAGGGATTAAGCCGCAACCTATGAAGCTGTCTGCAGCCTCTGCAGCACCAGTTTGATCCCTTACCAGGGAGCAACCCACATGGCACCGCAGACCTCTCCTGTCTCGCCCACCGCAGCCCTCAGCAATGTTTTTCAGTCAATCCACCTGTTCTGTTCCCCACTCTGTCTCTGATAAATCCTCTCACCCCCCTCACTTATACCCCAGTTCTTGTATGCATAAATAAATAAATCTTTAAAAAAAAAAAAAACCTGCTACCTCACACAAGCTGTTACGGAGAATATGTATGTAATGGGAGGTTATTATTAATATTTTTTAAAGATTTATTTATTAATGCACACAAGAGCTGGGGTGCAGGCCAGTGATGCAGGGGGAGGGTGAGAGGATTCACCAGAGACAAAGCAGGGAGCAGAACAGGCAGACGGACTGAAATACACTGCTGAGTGTTGTGGTAGGCGAGACAGGAGAGGTCTGCTGCACCATGTGGGTTTCTCTCTGGCCGGCCGGGGATTGAACTTGTGCTGCAGAGGCTGCAGATTGCTTCACAGTGCGGTGCTTAACCCCTTGTGCCACCAGGGAGGCCCTAAAGATTTATTTATTTATGCATACAGAGCTGGGGCACAGGCCAGAGGTGTGGGGGGTGAGAGGATTCACCAGAGACGGAGTGGGGAGCAGAACAGGTGGATTGACTGAAATACACTGCTGAGGGGAACAGCGGGCGAGTCAGGAGAGGTCTGCTGCGCCATGTGGGTTACTCCCTGGCTGGGGATCAAACTCATGCTGCAGAGGCTTTGGACAGCTTCATAGGTTGCGTCTTAACCCCTTGTGCCACCAGGGAGGCCCTATTATTATTATAAATCATGTGATCTAGCTGGTGTTATAAAAGAAGTACATGTTCATTGAAGAAAACATAGATGACATAGAAACAAAGCCTTAGACAGCTTTTCCTGAGATATTAGTTCCTGAAACATGATTTTACTAGAGTAGCTATAATTATGAAAACATGTCCATATGCCAGGCACTATCCAGGGCTTCAGTAGCACAGAAAGATCAGCAAAGAGTCTGGTTTACCTGATGCTCCTGAATGGCTGGGTGTAGGGTATGGGAAGAGCCCACTACCCCTGGGAAAGTAGTCAGAATGAGAGTAGGCTGAATGAAAAAGGAAGGAAAGAGTTCCTGGGATCAAACAGGCCCGTTAGGATGAGAATGCCATCTTAATCTCTCCGTGCATTGGGTGGTGTAAGTCTACATGCCAGGTCTGTTCCTGGCCCTTATCTTAAAGCAACCTTAGGTTCTGGGACTTTAATGGATGGGACTATACCACTGGTTCAAGGTATTACTGGATCAGGTGCTGGGAATGAAGACTTCAGGAAGGAGGCATCTAGGATGAGCACCTAAGTGGGCACTCAAGATGTTGTGAACCACAGGGCAGTTGGGGAAAGTTCCAGGGAGTTGGAAGTTCTTTCATTTGACTGATCCCAAAATAGCCTGTGAAGATGCTGTAATTAATCAGACATATCATCTGCCTTCCAGAAAATCACAATACAGATAAATGATAATACATGGTGAAACAGAGATGGAGAAATGTTTAGGCTGTGAAGCACCGATGAGTCATTAAGTTAGTCTCAGTGATAGGGAAAGGCAGTTACCAAAGAGGGACTCCTTAGAGTTGAGGTGATGGCGGTGTGACCAGGAACGAGCTGGGAAATTCTCAATGCCAAGCAGGGAGTGAGCTAGAACCCTAGAGGGACCACGATAGCTCGCCTGCAGTTTGCCTCCACTGGGTATGAGCAAGAAAACACTCACACCCCTTCAGGAAGGGCAATAGCATATGGATAATATTTATAATCAAGGTAGAACAGCATAGAGCAGTGGTTTCCAAACTTGTATCAGAATCACCTGAAAGATCAAGGTCTGTTGAAGCAGGATAGGACTTAGGCCTTGTAGTTACACATAGTTCCCAGGTCATGCTGATACCTTCAGTTTCAGAACCATTAAGAACATGAGCTCTAGGGCCTCCCCAGTGGGGCAGCAGGTTGAGCACAGCGCTGTGAAGCTGTCCACAGCCTCAACAGCGCGGGTTCGATTCCGGCCAGCCAGCGAGAATCCCATATGGCGTGGTGGACCTCTCCTGTCTTGCCTGCTGCTCCCCTCAGCAGTGTATTTCCGTCACCTGCCTGTTCTGCTCCCCACTCTGTCTCTCTGGTGAATTCTCTCACCCTCCCACACCCCTGGCCTGTACCCCAGCTCTTGTATAAAAATAAATCTTTTAAAAAAAAAGAACATGAGCTCTGGATCTGGACAATACTGAAGATTCCCCATTTGTAATATAGAAATTATAAAATATCATCTCACATAACTGCAGGGAGAATTAATGAGTTAGCAGTACAGCACTGAGAATGGTATCTGGACTATAAGACTACTCCATGAATGTTAGCCATTATCATCAAATCAGTTTCAGCTGCAGCAAGAAAGGACCCATTATATGATACTTAATTATAAAAGGGGGCATTCCACAACTTCAGCTGAGATTTTTATGAAAACAAGCCAAAAACCCCTATCCAATTAGTTACCATACGCTACCAGCTAGTAAGTCATCTAAAATCTTAAGTGTGAAAAGGCTGGGTTTGCTTGCTGCAGTGAGAACAATGAAAGGAAGATAAGCAGTATCCATTTGTCACAAGGAAAGATGTTGTGTCAGCTTCCTCTGGCTGCCTTCCTAACCAGTCACAGTGATACTGGGATGTGACAAAAGGAATGAACAAAGTGTGAATGGTTTCCATACAGGGACCTTGGCTCAGCTGGTCTGTAGCATGCTTGAAGAACTTAAAAGCTGAGGATGAAGAACCAGTAATAAGATCATAGATATCTGTTAAGAAAATATACAAGGCTACTTCTACATGTTCAGAACTTGTATGAAAACTCTGATATATACCTGGCTGAACCTCCAGGAACTCACAATACTGTAATTTGTGATGTGTTAAGTACTGCTTAGTATGGTGAACTTGAAAGAAATGTGTGGTTAACACGTTAACAGGGTTAGACACAGTCAAGAGGACAACTTTGTGTGAGAGGGGCCTTTTGTGGCCTACTCCTGCCATGCCCCTTCTCCATGAGGCACAGGGTTTGCAAGACCAGGGAAATGTGACCACCGAGGGCCTGTCTCCCTTTTTCACTTACCAGACCACAGTCCAGGTGCCAAGATCCTGCTTGTAGGGCCTGTGCAAGCCTCTTTCCTAGCTCCATTCTCACAAAGCCAGGGCTACTATAGTGCATACCCTAAGGCTGAAGTGGTGGGTGGTAGGTGGCTGAGGGATGGTGGTTTGCAGGGATTTGATGCCATTTTTCCTTATAATAGGGAAAAACAGATGGGAAGAGGAGAGCAAGCCTTGAGCATGAGACTGCCTGCTTTGAAACCACCCCTGCAGCATAGACTTGAGTCTGAGCATTCTAAATTCAACTCAATCTTCCAGCATGGTATATCTGTCAAGGTAGGAGGGCAGAGGATTATCTGAATTTACTTTGATTTCTAGCTCTTAAATATAAAGACATAGTATGGGGGACTCCATTTGTATTCTTGCCTCTGGAGCTAAATATTTTGGGATTGGGTCTGTACTTTAGTATCAAACAGGCCTAAATGTAAATAACTGTGCATGTCATTTATTGGTTATATGCCTTGGGTGATTTACTTGGATTCTCAAATAATAGTAACATTAAGGTTTGAGAGCATCCCTACTCAAACCGACTTAATCATAAACAGAAATTTATTGGCTTACAACTGACAGATCCAGTGGTTTTAGAAACCTCAGTCATGTCTAGATCCTCAGTCTAAACAGCATTCTACTTTCCTGCTTTGTCTTCATTCTCAGACAGGACTACACATACTTAAGCTACTTCCTAAGTTTTACTCATTAAGCAATCCTAGAAAAAATTAGATATTTTTACTTTTCTAGGCCCGCTGATGGCTGAGGGGTTAAGTCTCAGAGAAACCACCATGAAGGCCTGAGTTCAATCCCCAGCCTGGGAGCTAAGCCACATGGCACAGCAGACCTCTTCTGCCTCACCCACTGCTCCCCTCAGCAGTTTATTTCAGTCAGTCTGCCTGCTCTGCTCCCCACTGTCTCTGGTGAATCCTCTCACTTCCTGCACCTTTGACCTACACCCCAGTTTTTATGCCAAAAGAAAATCTTTAAAAAAAAAAAAGTTCTGGGCCTCATTGGTGGCACAAGGTTTGTCTCATACTATGAAACTATTGGCAGCCACTGCAGCAGGAGTTCCATCCCTAGCCAGGGAGCTAACACACATGGTGCAGCAGACTTTTCCTGTCTTGCCTGCTGCTCCCCTCAGCAATGTATTTCAGTCAATCTGCCTGTTCTTCCCACTGTGTCTCTCATGAATCCTCTCACCCCCCCACACCTCTGGTCTACATCCCAGCTCTTATATGCATAGATAAAATAAATCTTTAAAAAATAAAAGTTCTGACAGGGTCTCCCTGGTGGTGCAAGGGGTTGAGCACAGCGCTGTGAAGCTGTCCGCAGCCTCTGCAGCACGAGTTCAATCCCTGCCCAGGGAGATACCCACATGGCACAGAAGACTTCTCCTCGCCCACTGCTCCCCTCAGCAGTGTACTTTGGTCAATCTGCCTGTTCTGTTCCCCACTCTGTCTCTGGTGAATCCTCTCACCTCCCACACCTCTGGCCTGTGTAATCATAAATAAATCTTAAAAAAAAAAACTGGAAAAAAAAAAAAAGTTCTGACAAAGTCTAGGAATCTCCTGATTGGTTATATGCCCACCATGGAGAGTCTGGATCTATCCCTAATAAATCGTATGGATCAATAGTCAAGGAAGTGGTAGTTCACCAGGTAAAACCTAAGTTGTGGTTATCAACAAGATGGTTTTAGATAACACTGAAGCAAAATTAACACAGAACTGGTAGGGATTAAATGTTCAGCATTCCATGCTGGTTATTAATGTGATCAAGAAAATACAAATGGACTCAAACTGGATATATACACAACCAAAAGCACGCGGGACATATACTCATTTCTCAACTGTCTTTAACTCTGGATTCAGAGTTGGAAGCTTAAAGAAATTAAGACTTGAAATGTAGGCACAATCTCAGAGCACATTCACAAGTTCGTATGTATATATCATGTTTTCAGTGGCTATGGCTGATTCTGCACTGTCAGCTTGTGCCGATCAATGGACCTCCGTCACAAGAGCTATGTGTACCCAAGCCAGCTCCCCAGAAACTTTGTAGAGGGATATATCAATTTCCAAATTATTAAGTTTCTAGATAAATCCAACCTGGGTCTAACAGTATATGAAATAACCTATCATCACTGATAACTCATCACAACAGTAATCGCTTCCTACTTATTAAAATTTCCAATTACAGAATAATCTTTTAAATATGAGAATTATTACCTTGATGGAAATTGACCAAGATATATCAATAGTCTTTAAGTGTTCACTTCTATTATTTTCCTATTTTTGATGATTGATAAAAATATGCTACATACCACCATTTTTAATATTTCCCTGACATTTTATTTTGAAAATTTTCAAACCCACAGAAGCTGAAATAGTAATATTAAAATGTTAATGCTGTCTTCACACACAAGGATTTTTTTAATCAAAAGCAAAAACGCAGAGGCCAGATTTATTCTGCATGCTCACAGAAGCAGCAGCCATACATTTAGTGAGAGGAGCTTTCTGTCCTCAGGAAGTCTCTGTAATGACTTTTTAGTAGTGCTTTTACCCATCTCATCAGAAACTCACAGCCATGCAAGGCACACAGTAGTGGATTTATTCCCATTTTACAGATGAGGAAACAAACTCAGAGAGGTGAAATGATCTGCTCAAGGTCTCAAGTCAGTAAGTGACCCAATTGACACGAGCACTGAAGACTGCTGACTTCAGTAACTCAGCATTCTGAGGTCATGTCCTCTCCTGGATATACATTGAGAATAAAGTCAAAGCTGAGAAGATACACAGAAAGCAAGTACACACCAGGACCAATGTGTGTAGAATTATCAATCACAAGTCTGTTACTGGGAACATAAAGCCACAGTGTAAACCAAAGAGTGGGGAGAAACACACAGGGATAATAAAATTTCTGTCAACTGCTCCTGGTATGCCATCAACACTTATTGAGTACTTATTCTGTCCCAGGTACCATGCTTGGGATACAGAGAAAATAAATAAGGATTTTATCCTGATGGAGCTTACATTCCAGTGGGTCAATGGTCAATTCAAAAGTTGCCTATGAGACTGGTGGGCTGCATCTGGTCCACACTAGTGTTGTTTGGCCCACAGTGCTTAATTTTTTCTCTTTGTATTAAACTGACAACTTCTGGCTTCTCTGAAACAGGCAACTTTTGAATTTCTGAATAAGTAGCAACCACCCGTGCCCCTTACCCATGACACATGCCCTCTAGTTATCACTTCAGCCCACATTTCCTACCGTCTTACACCCAAACAGTTGTGGCCCAATTCATGCATTTGCCTTACCCACATGACATCCACAAGCATTAAAGCCTGACACCCCTGAAGCAAACAAATACAAACAATTTCAGATAACGTTAAATAATGTAAAATAAATGAGCTAAACTAATATAAGGGATGTGATATGATTGGTGGAAAGGGCTACTTCAGATTGGGTGGTCAGGGAGAGTCTTTCTGAAGTGTAACTGAAACCAAGAACAGAATTATGACAAGCATAAGCAAGTCTAAGAATCATCACCAGCAAAGACAGAGGAAGATCTAAGTAGGCAAAAGAGAGGAGCCACCACTATGAAAATCAAAATACTCATGACAAGTCTGCCAATATGAAAAAAAAAATGTTTCTTGGCAGAGGGCATAGACCCCCTTGATGCTGGAAATAACTTGGCTCCGTCAAATAAGAGTAGGCTGGGTTGGCTGGGAGAGTGGCAACGAGATCACAAAGGAAGGAAGAAGCCAGATTACACAGGACCTTGTAGGCCATAGTTAGAACTTCGGGTTTTATTTCAAGTGTGAAGGGAAGTCTTTGGAAGATTTTAATTTGGGAACACCGTGATTTGACATTTTTATAAGATTTCTCTGCTACATAGAAAAGTGATTTAGTGAGGCAACAGAGGAAGCACAGAGACCAATCAGGAAGCTATATTATAGTAGTCTGTAGGAGACAGTGGCTAGAATTAGGATGGTAACAGAAAAGATGGAGAGAAGTAGCAGATTCAGGATACAATCTGGAGTATAACCAGGTAATTTTCGGATAGAGTGGAGAGAGTAATAACAAGGGAGTATTTAAGGATAACTCCAGGTTGTGGCTTGTTCAAACACTCAATGAGTTGGGAGTAACTAGGAGAGGTCCCAGTTTCAGGAGAGAAAAAGAATTTGAGTTTGGATAAATTAGCTTTGCCTAGACTGAAGTTTTCCTGGATTCCTCATTTCCCTTACTTCCCACATCTAAGCAGTCCACAAATCCGAAAATTCAAACTTCTAAATACGTAATCTCTTATCAAATCTATCCCTTCAACTTCATATTCACTGTCTCTGTCCTGATTCAATCCTTTCTCTTGCCTTAACTTTTACAACAATTTTCTACAGCTATGAATAAACCAACAAGCAGCACTTAATGAGACGTGTACCTTTCTCCCACCGGCCATCTTTGACAGCACCATGTCTTATTCGTATTTATCTCTGGTGCCTAGGCCTGCACTGGGAACAGGCTAGGTACTCAAATGTCTGATGAACTAAAAAGACATGTCTTCAAACAGGACATAACTTCCTGGAAGGGAGGAAGCCTACCTTGGGATTCTATGACACCTTCACACAAAGCAGAACCACATATTTTGAAATGTATGACAGAAACATCATCTTTCCACAGATGCGTTTGTTTCGTTCTAATTTAGTTTCAAAATACTGTTTGATTTTTTTACTGTATAGCTAATGATACTGGATGACAGATAACATATATTACTATTTTCCACTTTTCTTTTAAATCTAGCGGTTTTACACTCTCATACCCTCACAGCATTTATAAGGAGGTCACAATGAGGGTTACTTCCATTTTACAAATAAGAGAACTGAGGCACAGAACAAAACCCCTTAATTACTTTTAGATGAGCTAAGAACACTGCCAGGGTTAAGACTAACCCCTCTCTGATGCCATACCACGATCTTTTTTTTTTTTTTTGAGGAAAAGGAAAGTGGTTTGACTTGTCAACAAATGAGGAGGGCAGCATACCATGATCTTTAACTGGAAAATATCCCAGTCTCCCACCCCTGAAAAGTTGCAGATCTTCCCTAGGTTTTGCCTATACAATTACAAACGTCCTTGTGTACTTGCGTGTATTGCCACAAGATCAAAGACCATGTTCTCTTATCTCTTTTACCTACCATTCTTCTCAGTACCCTTTTATCTCCCTCCCAAAAGAAAAGCACCTTGGTCATTAGCCTGGGAGATCAAGTAAGTCTAAGAATCACCACCAGCAAGGACAAAGAAAGATCTAAGTAGGCAAAACTTATTCCAATGGAAATAGAGGGGCCACCACTAAAAAAATCAAAATACTCATTTCAAAAGGTTTCCAGCTTGGGAGTATGTAGGAAGAAAAATGGTGGTGGCAGCAGAAGGCCAGATCCATGCTGACTTCCTCTTCCAGAGTCATTTTTTCAATGCACCCAGGCTCTTCAGGGCCTCCTGGGCCTGGGTCAGCTGGTGCTGCATTCTTTGGCGGGTGCTCTCATTGGAGGCCCGCTTCAAGAGGCCCTGCATTTCTTCTACCACTGCCCGGTGGCCAGGGGTGTTGTGGAAGAGCCTCACAGCACGATCCCCACAGGAGGCCAGAAGCCGGCCAGTGATGTCAAAGGACAAGTCAGTGATATACTCCCCGTGGACCTGCTCAAAGCACTCCTCCTTCTCACCCCGTCGGGTATTGTAGAGATGAATACTGCTGCCGCTTGCCAAGGCCAAGACCTGGGCGTCAGGGGACAGTGCCAGGCGGCAAGGCAGGCTGCTTGCCTCTTCAAAGCGGCCTGTCCTCAGCAAGTAGGGGTCTTGCTGCTTCTTGTATTCCACATCTGTGTCCCACAGTTTCCAGGTCCCATCCTTGGAGACAGAGGCCATCCTGCAGCATGGAAAATCATGGCTCTATCCCCAACACATTCTGGAGGAGCGGGGACTGGGACAGCATTAGGGGCACCAGCGAGGAAATCAACTCCACTAATACGCCTACTTTCTGCTTAGGGTTAGGCACTCCCACCCACCTCAGAGATACAACAGAGATAGGCAGAAGGATCTGAATGCCAAAAGGGCTTGGGAGCCACAATAAGAAGTCAGTGGATTCACTTACCTCCGGGAGTCATTGGAGAAAGCGAAGAAAAGGACAGCTGCAGAGTGACCCTTCAGTTCAAAGGCTCGCACAACCTCCTGGAAGTCACCTTTTTTCCCAAAGCAGACTTCCCAAACTTTTACATCTGGGGTGAAGCCACACGAAGCCACAAACCTGCCATATGACCGAGTTTCCTTTAAAACTTAATTTTAAGGGTATTTTGTTTCTGCAAACCACTAAACTTCTTTCCTGAGAAAGTTAATCTTATATCTGCTGTATCTTTTAAAAGCATTTTAAAACACATGACCTTAGTTCAGCCTCACAACCATGTTATAAGCTACACACTACTCCCAACACAACCTTTTAAAAACTATAGATGAAGGGCCTCCCCAGTGGCGCAGCAGTTGAGCGCTGGGTTGTGAAGCTGCCCGCAGCCTCTGCTGTGCCAGTTCAATCCCTGGCTGCTCTGCGGCCACCGGAGGAGGGTCCCACATTGGCGTGCAGACCTCTCCTGCCGCCCGCTGCTCCTCTCAGCAGTGTACTTCGGTCCTTCTGCCTGCTCTGCTCCCCGCTCTGGCTCTGGTGAATTCTCTCACCCTCCCGTGCTTCTGACTGTACTCAATGCTTGTATAAATAAATAAATAAATCTTAAAAAAAAAAAAATTCTTTAAAAAAACTAAAACTATAGATGAAGGGCCTTCCCTGGTGGTGCAGGCAGTTGAGCGCAGCACTGTGAAGCTGTCTACAGCTTCTGCAGTGCAGGTTCAATCTCAGCCAGCCAGCGAGGGTCCCACATGGCGCAGCAGACCTCTCCTGTATCGCCCGCTGCTCCCCCTTAGCAGTGTATTTCATTAGTCTGCCTGTTCTGTTCCCCGCTCTGTCTCTGGTGAATCCTCTCACCCTCCCCGCACATCTGGCCTGTACCCTGGTTCTTATATAAATACATAAATCTTTAAAAAAACAAAAACTATAGATAAAGAAATATAGACTAAGGACTTACTTGAAGCTAGATGACTTAATCCACACTGTATGTATGCTCTTTCCACTATTTGAAGCTGGCTTTCTGCTCTGTCCCTGTTCCCAGTCCCAACTTCTGCCAAAGTCCCTCCTTCCTCACCTGCTACAAGGGGATATAGCAGCATGTGTATTATTCATCTGGTTGGTGTTGATGGTAGACAGCACCTGGCCTTTCAGATTCCAGATGAGAACAGTTGTGTCACTGGAAGCAGTCATGATGAATTTCCCTGAGGAATTAAGGGAATGACACGAGGCCAATGACCTGACCAACTATCATTCTTCAAGGAGACAGATATGAAGGTCTCTATTGCCTGAAGCATCCATACTTGCTCCCCTCCCAGGCCAAGGTCACCACAGATAAGGACTTTGCTAAAGTTCTTACCTGCTTCCCCTGGGGACTGTCTGTGGCTCCCAGGAGTCCAGTGAGGCACAGAGCCAGAGTCCTTTTGGCACACTGGGGCTGAGCCCAGCTCTCAGGTAGCATGAATTCATTCAGCAAATATAACTGGAGCCATTTCCTCTCACCTTGGCAAGCTCCACCCTCTGAGTGCCTCTTACCTGTGTCAGCAATGCAAATGTTAATGATGGGTGCCTTGTGCTTTTTAGGAAAGTCCTCTGGGGTAGCTGTGAAGGTATAGTCTCCATTCTCTCGTTTGTTCATCTTGTAGACACGGAGGGTATCTTCATTGGCCAGCCAGACAATGAAGGCCCTAAAGTCAGACAGTAGACAAGTCACTCATGTATTTGGATACAGAGGTACTATATGTGGCAGGTTTTGTGAAAAATCAAGATCTCCCATCATGCCCTATAGTTTAGCCTCAAAATTTGATCCCTGAGTTCAAAAACCACTTAAAACTCCCTAGAAAGAGGACTCTCACAGCTTTAGCTTCCTTAGTGTCTCTCTAGGGTTCAGAAAACCATTCCAGCTTCCAAGACTAATCTGGTAGCCAGGCTTTGGTGTTCCCTAAGTAGGAACAGATCTTTTCCTCTCTGCTCCCTTGCCGTGTAGTTGCATAGCCTTCCAGGGAGCAGAGAGGTACTCAAGCCACCTGGGTGCTCTCTGCCATCCCAAACAAGACATTGTGACTCCCTTCACTATCCCAAACCAGGTATGGGAAGGACATAAACATGGGGCTGAGCTTCTGCAGGAACACCTAAGGGTCCATCCTGTCCCACCTGCAGTCAGGGCTGAAGCGCACCAAGGTGGCGTGGTCCAGCTCCACGTTGGCTCTCATGCTGCGGTGCTCCCGCTGCAGGAAGTCCTTGGTGCTCCAGATGCGGACGGTGCGATCATCTGCACAGGTGGCAAGGTACTTGCCATTGCTGCTAAAGTCCATGCAAGATATGTTCCCACTGTGGCTCTAGGGGAAGGGTTGCAGGAAGTGTGAACAGACCCCTGGGACAGATGGGGAAGCCCAACCAGCAGCCATGACTCCAAGGCCCTGTTGCCTGGATTAACAGCAAGTTGAAGATGGGATATGATAAGGGATAGAATGGGGTGTCCCCACTGATTTTGGTCAGAGGAAGAACAATATGAAACATGCAAGCAATATGTGGGGGTGTGAGTCTTTGTGTACATGTGTTTTATATGGGTACCCATGTACCTTTAGTGCTGCAGCCAAGAGGCGGTGAGTGAAGTTATGTTGTTGAGGTTTCTCCTTGCGAATTCGTTGGTGCTGTTTCTGCTTCTTGGACTTCAAGGACTTGTTAAGTGGAAATCCATTAGCTTTCTGGCCTATAAGAAAGGGCCATGTCATCCATCCATTCGCTCATTACATATTTATAGGTTACCAATGATTGGTCAGACATTGAATGGAGCAGCAAGAGATGACCAGATATTGCGAGACAGAGGTTTCAGAAACAGAGATGGGTTTGGGCTGTGCCTCTAACCACTCAATGATCTTGAGAAGGCTGCTTGCAGTTAGTCCGTATAGCATACGACTCAATGTAAATTAGAAAAGGCACCCTCTCTGGGCTGAGGTAGCTTAGTGGGTACACTGATTTGGCCAATGGAGTGCAGCTCCTTGGCTAAACATCCCTGCAAATGGAATAATGTGCACAGCTGAATCTGGTGGCCCTGGCCATGGGTAAATTACTTAACTGCTCTGAGTCTTGGTTTCCTCAAAGAACTTGTGAAAATTATAGCGTCCCCAACACAAGTGTTAGAAGCCCAAAGGAATTCCAAAGACAACTTGAGGATGAGAGGAGTCAGTGTTGAGCACCCACCCTGTGCCAGGACTGGTGCTGGGGGTTGCTTCTCCATAAAATATCTAATTAATAATCAAACTAGGTGCACACAGTTGCATATGTTAGATCTCTGCAGATGTGCAATTCCTACAGGAAAAAGACCTCCTGAGCTCCACATACAAAGTGCCCTCTGCGTACCTCTCTCTCCAGGCTGGTTTAACAAGGCCCCTCCTTTCCCCTCACACTGACGTCATATCAAACTCTGTTTCAAAAGACTCCTTGCTTTCAGCCGTATTGCCTTTGCCAGGAAAGTTCTTTCCTAGCCTCCTGGAAAACTCTTACACACCTATTCTTCAAGAACCGATCTCATGTATTTTCTACTTTCAGTGGCGATTTCCTTGATCGCTCACCCCCACCCCCGCCAAAAAAAGAAACACCAGCAGCAGTTGACCACCCCCACCCTTGTGTTTCCGGTTTCTAGTACTGATCTTTCCCATGAAACCTACTATGTATATTATTTTTTACCTGTATTTTAAGACACTCTTCTTCCTCACCCAACAATGGACTCCCTAAAAGGAAAGACTCCAAAGCCTACTAAGGCTCTAGGTACTCAACAAATGTTGCCGCATATCGGGGAGCTAGTCGGATGAATGAATCTCCCCCTCCATTTTCACGAAATAACGAATGCGTGCTAGAGTTTGCAGGCATTTTCATAGCAAACCCGGGCAGACGCTGGGGCGAGAGGTTTTGGGGCTCGCCTAAAGGTTTAGGGGCTCGCCTAAGAGGTTCAGGTTTCGCCTCGCAGGGCGAAAGGGCAGCCTGAGACCCAGGTTCGAACCGGCCCTACAGAGGGGCGCTACCTGCCCGGCGAGGTGAGGCCTAGCCTCTGGCGGCGCAGCTCAATTCACAAGAGGGGAAACTGAGGTCCGGGAGTCCCCGGCACCCCGGCAGGCCCCAATCCGCAGGTATGACCAGGGGTCGGCCGGGGGCGAACTCCCCGAGGGTCACCCCTACCCGCCCGATCCCACTAACCAGAGGCCCGGCGGCAGGTCTCCTCTGCGCGCAGCCACCCCCGTGCCACCGCCGCTGTCGCCATCAGGGCCAGTAACCCGAGCAACAGGGACAGGCCCATCAGCTCCGGGATCTGCGGCAGCTCCATCTTGACCCGCCTGCTGCCACCTCAGCCTCCGGCTAAATGGGCGAGAGCTCGTCTCCGCCTGCGCCGGGCCACGCACGCACGCGGGGCGGAGCCTGGCCGTTGGGCGTCCCGAGGGGCGGGGCCTGGCCGTTGGGCGCCCTAGGGGCGGGGCCTGGCCGTTGGGCGTCCCGAGGGGCGGGGCCTGGCCGTTGGGCGTCCCAAGGGGCGGGGCCTGGCCTTCGGGCGTCCCGAGGGGGCGGGGCCTGGACGGTGGGCTTCCCGAGGGGCGGGGCCTGGCCGTTGGCGCGCCTCGGGGACGGGGCCTGGCTGTTGGCTCACCCCCAGAGAGGCGGGGCCCGCGGTGTACGCGTCTCGGGGGCGGGGCCTGGTCGTCGGCTCGGCCCGAGGGGCGGGGCTTGGCCGTTAGTGGGTCCTGGCGCTTGAGACTTGTGCAGACCTGGAGGGTGGGGGGAAGATGTGCTGGCTGTTCGGGCAGCCCCTTGAGTGGATTACTCATAATCGTTTATTAAATGCATTATTCCAGCCATCACTACACTAAGTCCTTTCAAGGAGGAAGGCCAAGTAGTGTAATAACTCCCTTTTAATCAGTGGGAAAGTCTTTTGGGCACCAGGGGAAACTCAGATGGACTTTTACTGTTAGTGGAGAAAGGATGGGCTCTTACTGTTAGTGGAATTGGAGTGTGGGACCACCTCTGCAAAACCTGGAAATGAGGGGCCTCCCTGGTGGCGCAAGGGGCTAAGGACCACACTACGAAGCAATCCGCAGCCTCTGCAGCACGAGTTCAATCCCCGGCTGGCCAGGGAGCAACCCACATGGCGCAGCAGACCTCTCCTGCCTCACCCGCTTCTCCCCTCAGCAGTGTATTTCAGTCAGTCTGCCTGTTCTGTCCCCCACTCTGTCTCTGGTGAATCCTCTCACACCCCACATCTCTGGTCTGTACCCAGCTCTTGTATGCATAAAGAAATAAATCTTTAAAAAAAACAAAAAGAAAGAAAATGGGCCTCCCCGGTGGCACAGCGGTTGAGGGCTGGGTTGCGAAGCTGCCCGCAGCCTCTGCGGCGCAGGTTCGATCCCCGGGTGCTCCCCGGCCACTGGTGGAGGGTCCCGCATGGCGCGCAGACCTCTCCTGCCGCCCGCTGCTTCCCTCAGCAGTGTACTTCGGTCCCTCTGCCTGCTCTGCTCCCAGCTCTGGCTCTGGTGAATTCTCTCACCCTCCAGCGCTTCTGACTGTACCCAGTGCTTGTATAAATAAATAAATAAATCTTTAAAAATAAATAAATGAATTGTGTTTTCCGTGTTACACTTTAAAAAAAAAAAAGAAAAGCTGAATGATTTTACTCTATGACATAAAAGAAAAATGCAGATAGAGGAGGGAAGCAAGACTTAAAAAAAAAAAAACAATCTGGAAATGAGGGTCCTGTGGGGAGGTAGGGTATGGGCAGTGTAAAAAGAAGGCAGCAGGTCTTCTGCCCACCTGTGACTACGCAGGTGTCTCTTACCAAGCCTGTCCCTTTCAGGGGTGGCTCTTTCTGCCCACTTGTGTCTGTGCAAGTGTCCTTTACTTCCCTTTTTATAATAAACCTGCCCTTTTGGATATGGATACACACACACACATATATATACACACATACATATAAATAAGTAAATGAAAGGTAGGAAGGCCTTGAGTGCTGGCTTACTCCAACAGATGGAGAGGCACCTCTGCTGATTACCACAGTGAAAGACGGTCTGGGTGGACCAGGCCGTTCCAAGACCAAAGACAGCCAGGAGATAGTTGCAAAGATCTTTGAGGGACATGATACAAGCCTGGACATGGGGGTGACCTGGGGAGTGGAAAGGAAATGAAAAGATGTCTAACAAGACATTTTTTAAAATTTTGGAATAATTATAGATTCACAAGGAGTTGCAAAAAGTCAACACGAAGGATCCAGGTATCTGTCACCCAGTTTCTTCCCATGGTAACTTCTTGTATAACCATAGCGCAACAGAGCAAAACCAGGAAATTGGTGTTGACACGATCTCGAGATTTATTCAGAATTCACCAAAAAGGAGATAATCTGAAAGATGAAATGATAAAATTTGGGTTGGACCCCTTGGGGGGAGAGGGAATGGTCCCAGAACATCAGAGAGTCAAAGTTCAGAGTGAGTCGAAGTACCAGGGTCAGGGATTCCAGATTCCAATGTCTTCTTTCTCACCAGGGAGCCTCTGCGGATAGTGCGGGCCCTCTGGCTCTTAGAAGGAACTCTGATGAGGCTGCTGCAGAGACTAGATAACAGACAGATACGCCACAATCTGGTGAGGAAATAGATCCAGTCAGAGAACAAATGGAGCCGTCTCATTTCCTTCCCTTTTGAGGGGCGGGCAGTGGTGGGGGGAAGGGTGGTTGGCACTGACTCATCTTTGGGCAGTGGGGTGGGGAGGCTTGGAAGGGAATGTTCAGAGCATCCTGGGGCTTTCCTTCTGAATTTGCTATATAGAACTGTAGGCTCAGCCACAAGTCACTTTCTCCACCAGAAGCATTTTGCCTGTGACGTTTATTGATTCAGGAGCTTTGCATTTTATTTAATTTTTTCATACTCCCATCCCACAGACTGATGCTCATTAAGTAATTTTCTGGAAGTCACAGAGATGAAGAGAGGACTTAGGGACAAATGCAGGTCTGCTGACTGCAATCTCTTGATGTGGGGACAAGCAGAAACAAAAGCCAAGACCAGTTGGGTATAGCTTAGTCCAGGCTACAAGATTCTCATCCATGAGTTCAGTTATCTTTATAGTGGCCTGTAAGACAACTCAAAACAGATGATAAGGAGAAAAAAAAAACCAACCTCAGCTTAAATCAAGTAACTTACCCAAGGTCAACAAGAAAGCAAAGGAAAGAACCCATAGTCAAATTGGGGTTGGTGATACTCCAAGATCCATGCTCCTCCCTCTTCACCACTCGGCATGGGAAGACCTTGTTTTACCCTCAGGTGTTGTACAGCCCAGTTGGGAGCCAAAACCGACATGTGGAAGGACAACGTGTGACAAAGCAGGGTTTGGGAAAACTGGGCAGAGCAGCAGGGCCATCTGCCAGTAGATTTTGAGGGAGTGAGATTTGGCTGTACCTTCAAGGGTGGACAAGTGAACAGAAGGTAGGAGGGAATTTGAGATGGGAAGCAAGGCCTGGACCATGTTGGGTGGTAGAAGGAACTGATTCCTGTGCAGAAAGGTATGACTACGCCTCCTGTCTGGTTGGGGGCAGGGGGTGTTGCAGATGATACCAGAGAAAAGGAGGCTATGGGAGCGGGATGGATAGGGAGACAAAAAAGCTTAGGAGGAGGAGGTCTACCTTCTTCAAGGTCGATCATGCCTTGCAGAGGCAAAGCAGAATGACTAGGAACCTGGATATTCAGGACCCATGGAATGTGAGGAAAGGGAGGACATAGAGAAGAATGATGCTGGAGAGGGAGCAGGACCCAACCACAAAGCACGTTAGAGGCCAGCAGGAACCCAAGAAGCAATGGAAGCATGACTTTAATTTGCAATTGAATATCTACCTTGCATTGAGTGGAGCCCTCCCTACCTTTGGCCTTGTATCAGACGAAATGATAAATTTCCTCATTGTTTAAGCTGTGGCTGTCAGACTATGGCCCTGGACCTCTATCATTAGAAATGCATGTTCTTAAACTCCATCGCAGACCTGCTGACTCAGAAGCCCCGGAGGTGGGGGCCCAGCAAGTTGTATTTTAACAAGCCCAATAAATGATTCTGTTGCATGCTAAAATTTAAGAGCCACTGATTTAACTAATTTGAGTCCCAGATGTGTTATTATTTGCTGCTCAAAATCTCCATTACAGTGGTTCTTAACCTTGACTGTAGTTTTGAGCAAAATGCTGATGTCTAAATACCACATCCAGGGATTCTTATTTAATTGGTCTAGGCTGAACCTGGTGAAGATTTTTAAAAACCCCTCCCCCGCCCCATTATTCAAATGTACATTTAAGTTTCAGGAGCAGCTAGAAGAGCTACAAAAGGCAAGTGCAGAGAGTGTGTGAAGGTGAAACTCTCTTGGACCAGGCGATGGTCACAGGGATGGATGCTCACAAGGTCAGCTGGCTGGCAACAGACTGCACAGAGTGTGGTGTGTGGGGAGCAGTCGAGGACTATTTCCAGCTTGCACAAGTGTCTGGACAGCAGCGCCCTTCTCGGGAATGGGAAGGATGGACAGGACCAGGCTACGGTCTCAGAAATGATGAGTTCCACTTTGGCTCCTTCGAGGTTAAGAGAGAGGTGGAACTCTCCAAGGAAGGGGTCAGGGCGCTAGATGGATAGGTGGGTGTGTAGCTGGGGTGGGGGGAGAGCAGGGCAGCACAGAATAGGGGTAGGCCGAAGGAGATGGCATTGCTTCAGGCTTGTCACAGAGTAAGGAAGGACGCAGGCAGTGGGACGCAGGCTCTGCCAGGGAGAAGGAAGGACAGCCTGGAGAGAAATCTGGATTGACACCCAGGGAAAGAAAGTTTTAAGAAGGTGGTCTGAGGGCCTGAGGGAAGGCAAGAGGAGCACTGCAAGTGGTCATTGGAGTTGGTAGTGGCTTTGGTGTCAAGTAGCCTTGTTGAGAGCAGTGTAGCGGGGAGGCTGGGGTTCAAGGGGAGTGGGGGAGCCAAGAGGTAGGGGTCTGGGATGAGTGGGAGAAACGGAGGGAGAGTAAACAGACGACAGACAACTCTCTCAAGAGAAGGTGGCATCTGGGGGGGGGGCAAGGTCAAGGGGAGATTTTATGGGGCTCTTTATGGCAGGGTGTGAGTGGGTAGAAACCACAGAGCACAAGATGCCAGGACGTGGCCTTGCAGAGGGCTGCTTCAAGCCTTTGTGGTCACAGCAAATAGCACTTCAGGGCTGGGGGCACCTGCCACCTATCCGGTAGAGACATAGCTAACAGGACACTCCTGGGCCCGGCAGTCAGGGTGGGCACCTCGCTAACCACACAGCCCTGGGGAAGTGAGTAAGCCCCTCTGTGCCTTAGGTTTTCACCAGTAAAGGGGGGGAAGAGAATAATTTTACTGTGGTGCAGGCACCGTTGTAGACCCTTTATGTATATTACTCTTGTGTCCTCACGGCAGGCCTCCAGGGGTAGGTGGTGTGAGGATTAAGTGAATACACAACACACTTAGAACAGCTCTCAGTTTGTCATAAACACTAGGTAAGCGCTCTGTTGTGGTTGTTTCTGTTATTATTCTACATGAGTGAGGGAGATGCAAAGCCCAAGGAGACCCTGCTTTTGGTACCCTGCAAATGTCTCTGAGAAGATGCAAGATACACTCACCAGGTTTGAGGGTCAGCTCCACAAGGATGAGAGCTGTAGCAGCAACAGAATCCCCAGGCCAGGACAGTCACCTGGCCCATCGTTGGCCTCCATAAATATTTTAAAAATGGATCATGAAGTATTGGGGCCTTTGAGGCATTTACGGCCACTCCCCATCTGCAGTATTGTTCCTTCAGAGACATCCCAACCAAGTGCCATCCCCCTCTGTTCTCATCTCGCAGAGTGGGGAGCTCACTACCTCCTGAGGAACCAGCTTCTTCTGGATGGTTCCGATGGATGGCCCTTGGTCCCAGCTTTGTCCTCTTCCAACTTGGAAGGTGATGACCCTCTCTGAACCTTCTTCTGTCCACAGAGGGAGAGTTTCCAGGAAGACTGTGTCATCTCTCTCCTGGACGACAGCAGCAGCCTAAAACTGACCACACTCCTTGTTTCTAGCTGCCCCACTGCAGCCTATTCTCAATTCAGCCATCAGAGGGACCCTGTGAAGAAGTTACCTCTGATCTTGTCCCACCTCTGCTAAAAAGCTACTAGCTCAGAGAAAAAGCTAAAGTCCTTTCATGGCCTGCCAGCCCCTCTACCAGCCACCTCCCACTGCCACCCTGCTCTCTCCCAGAGCAAGACACGCTGACAGTCCCTACAGTTTTTGTTTTTATTGGTCAAGAATTCCTTACAAAATCCACACACACACACGCACATGCACGTACGCATGCACGCGCACATGTACGCACACACACAGATGCCTGCTTTGGCCTGGCCACCCCCTGCCCTGCTCTCTCCCGGATCAGACCTTCCACTCAGGGATGCAATCTTGCAACCCCAAGTTTACCAGTGAAGGTGAGAGAGAGGGAGCCTCCTTTACTGCTTCTCTGTTCAGAAACAGAGGCTGGCACCCCTCCCTTGGGGAAGCAGGCAGGGTGGCAGGGAAACAGATCCCCTTCTCTTCTTCAGGGTCCCTGAGTTGCCAACTTAGGCCCCCAGGTATCACCGCTACTGAGACATGGGATTATTTTCTGATTGAAGTTCCCCCATTCCCATTTTTTAGTCTGGAAAATGGTGGCCCATAAGGGGGTGTGAGTTTCCCAGGGTCACAGCCTGGAAATCAGCTCTTCCTGGCTTCCAAGAGGTGGGAAGAGACCTGGACCTTGCTCAACCCTCAGGAAAGGGTACAACCAGGCCCTGGAGCAGGAGGGGAATATGCAGAAGTTATCCCTGGAGTCCTCGGCCAGGAAGACAGTCCCAGGGCAGCTGAGTGAGTGGCAGCGTCTGGCCAGCACTATAATGGTTTGCCAAGGGTACCCTCTGTGACTGCCTGCGTGGCTTGCTCAGGTATACAGCTTGGGTCCGTCAGGATACTGGTGGATGTGCTCAGCTGGCGCAGGGAGTTTAGAACAGCTGGGGAAAGAAAGAGAGGTGCCTCCTGGGGTCAGGGCCCTTCCCTTGGATGCTAAAGAGTAAGAGACTAGGTGAGGACTAGTTGGCAAGATGGTCGGCCCCACCTAGGACCTCTGTCTGCAGGCATCCCAGAGGCTGGGGATTGTCCAGAGGACATGGTGGGGTGGCCAAAACCCTAGGCTCTTTTGAGCAGGCTGGACCTGGGGTCTGAGTAGAGTAGAACCCTCTGCCCTGAGGTCTGGACATCCCAGTGGGCAGGCAGGTGGTCACATACTTGGCCGGAGAACAGGTAGGGAGCAGTACTGGTCCAGCCAGGCCAGCGAGGTCTGGCGGAGGCTCTGCAAGCTTGCTGTGGACACCATCCCATTGAAAGACTCGAACAGAGGTCGGATGAGGATGCTGAACTGTGCCCACGTCAAGGAGCAGCCTGTGGGCCAGCTGGTACTTTTGCCCACTTCACATAGTATCCCCACATCTGCCACCAAGCAGGGGAGGGGCCTGACTACTGGCCCACCTTGATCCTCTGTTGCTGCCACCCTCCCATCCTGCTGGGGTCTGCCCTCTCTCTGCCTCTCAACCCCTTCCTCCTCGCTCCTCCTTGGCCCTCTTTCTGGCCTGGACTGTCCCCCTCTCCTGGGCTTCCTGCTCTGGCTCAGTCAAGAGTTTCGCTGGTATGGAAGTGGGAGATTCCATGGCTTCTCTAGGCTCGCCCCACTCCCACCACTGAGTTTAGCACATCCCCCCAACCCCAACTGGCCAGACTTTCTGTGGCCAGGGCTGTGGGGTCCTTATCCAGGGACTCTTTCTTTAATTTCCCTCTGCTCCCAGCCCATTGCTGGGCAACCCTGCTGGCCCAAGATGCCAAAGGCATGGGAGGAGTGCATAGGAGAAGCCTGTTCCCCTGGGACAGCTCTGAGACCCTGTCTGGGAGCTGAGCCTATGTCAGCTGCAGCTTGGGCTGCTGGCAGTGTTCACTCCGCTACTGGCCAAGTGAGGATACGACCCAGAACTTCCAGTTGTGCAGCGTGCGGGTCCGGACATAGTCATCAAACATGACCCGCATCTGATCGAAACGCTGATGTGTGATGGGCACCCCGGTAGCAGGCAGCTGCTGCTGGCACAGGCTGGGGAGGTATGGTGGGTCAGGGGTCGGGAGGCAGGAGGCATACCCCTGGGTCCAGCGCCCACGGGTCCCCCACCTACTTAATGGCAGCATTGAGCTCCTCGATCTGGTCCCGCAGCTGCTGGGCTTCCTCCTGCAAGGCCGCCCGCTCCTGCTGCAGCATGGTGATATACTCAGCCGTCTTCTGCAGCGTGGTTGCTTTGCTTACCTGCAGGCATCACCAGTGCTGGCTCAAGTTCTGGGGGTCACCCCACCCCGCATCCACTGAGGCACTGGGGTGGGAGGAGGCACTTGGCTAACTGGAGGAACCCTGGGATTTGATTTTGAGGGGAAAGGTCTGTGAAGGGGCTGTGTGGTTCTGGGGAGCCAGTCTGGACTGGGGCTCACCTTAAGGCTGGGCTGGGCGCTGAGTGTGCTCACCAGCCCATGTAGGGTGTCAAATCCCAACTTGATGTTGAAGCGCCGCTTCTGCTCCGCAGAGATATGTGTGATGCGCCGGTTCTCTGTCTGGGGGTAGACAGCAGGGTGAACTCTGGAAGGAGCGCAGAAGAGCCTTGGAGGCAGCAAACAGAACTTGGGGTGGAGGGCAGTACCCACCTTATTGTTGTCTGGACGGGCCCGGCTTAGGATGGGGTGAGGGGGAGAGACATGGACACTCAGAGTCCCCGGGCCTGGCACGGAGTTAAGTTCCCGGGACAGCTGCTGCTCACCACCTGTGGCAGGAACAGACAGACCCACAGAAAGACCAACATAGAAGAGAGGGTCCCATTGCCCAGTGCCTCACCCTGACCCAGATGTAGTCACCCCTTTTTTCTTTCCCTCCCTTGATCCTCTAGAGTTCCCCAATCCCTGCAACCCTCTTTACCGCTGGGCGCTGGGGGTGAGAGCCGCTCCGCTTTGGGGACAATCAGGGGCCTGGGAGGGACCAGTGTGGCTGGGCCTGGTGGTGGCCGGGGTGGTGTGGGGGCCGAAGTCGGGGGAAAGAAGGTGCAAGGGAAATCAGGGACCGTCTCCTGCTGGGGTGGAGAAGGGGGAAGAGTTGGGGTGAAGTCCCTTGGCCCACCCTCACCTCCTAGTGCCTGCCATCTTACCGGGGATCCTGGGGGCTGGAGGAGGACGCTGGACACGAGTGGTGGTTCCAGGGTTTGTTCGGGTTTGGCTGTGCATAGACAGAGCTGTGAGCGCCTCTGCGGCTGGCCCCACCCCCATCATTGCCCTGGAACACACTCCCTCTCTCCTAACAGCCCCTAGTCCTTTCTGGTTCAGGCCCATGCCCCTCATTCCTCACCACCCTGCCCCCCAGCTGAACCTACCCCTAACCTTCATCCTCCACTCCCACAAGTCCCTACTTCCAGATTTGGTCCCCCCACTGCTGACTCTGCTCTTCCCATCTCACCTGCTGTGAGCAGCTGTGTGAGGCAGGGGTTGTTGCCCCCAGCAGAGGCAGTGGGAGTGGCAGTGGCAGGGGCCAGAGTTGGGGGGCTGGGCTTCTGCCCCCTAGGGGAAGGGGTGAGAGGCTTGCCCCTGGGTTGCACACCTTGGGGCACTGTGAAATGAAGCCCAAATGGGGGCTCCGGATACCCTGAGGGTAGAAGGTCCATGGGGAAGCAGGTAGAGACAGCGCTTGAGCCAGGCTGTGGGGTGAGTGGGAAGGCTGCGGGGGCAGGCAGTGGGGATACTCCGGGGGCAGGAGGCACTGTAGGGAAGGGGAACCTGGGTGAGAAGATAGGCTCTTCTGGCAGCAAAACAGTGGGTGGAGCCAGGGGAGGGAAGGGAGTTGAGGGACAGGGCTCCACAGCAGGCCCCTTGGCAGGGACAGGGTATTGGAGGAGGGGTGGGGGGGCAGGAGCGGGTGGGAGCTTGGGCTTGGGTTCTTCAGGAAGGAGGAATTCAGAGTTCAGGAAGGCACTGGAGTCCAGGGGGCCTGGACAGCTGCTCTGAGCCTGGATGGGGGGAACAGATAAAGAAAAGGGGAGAAAGATGGCCTTTGTGGCCACTCAAGCAGCCTCCCAACCTGGATGCGCTCTGGACTGGGCACTGGGAGAGATAGAGAAATGATCCTCCCCCTGCAACACGCGCATCAAGGATATGATAATCTAATGAGGGGAAGGAGTGGAACACATTTATGCACAAATTTGGCATGAAAAAGAGCATTATCTTCTTCTCCATCCATTCATTCACCAAATAATTTAGCCGGGCCTCCCCTGGTGGCGCAGCGGTTGAGCGCTGGGCTGTGAGGCTGCCCGCAGCCTTTGTGGCACCGGTTCCTTCCCCGGCCGCCGGCAAGGGTCCCACAAAAAAAAAAAATTTAGCCAACCATGCGCCAATCCACTGACCCTTCCTCCATTCACCCTTCATCTATTCACCTACCTCTTTGTTCTCTCACCTATGAGCTCGCTCATCTACCTGTCTCTCCATCAGTCCACCAAGTACCGACCCAGTCATCAATCCATCCAACCATCTATACTTCATTCATCCGCCAACCCATCCATCAGTACTTTCGCTAGCCACTTACCAATCCTCCAGCCCACTTGTCAATCCACCACACTGTTCATCCATGACTCCAACCACCAACCCATCCCTCCCCAACCTCTCATCTACCTAGAGACACCAACCCATGCATGCATCTGCCCCATGTGCTGCCCACATTCCCGTCCACTGACATATTCATGTACCCACTCCCTTTACTCGCTCAATTCACTCGTTCAACCATTGGGCAGCCGTTTCCTCGGTGCTGTTAATGTGGATGAAATCTTCTAGATATGGAAATGCAGTGGTGAGGAAGACATAGCCCTTTCAGGCCTTCACTATCTAGTTGAGGATGGAGACCCTCAACTAGGAATTGCTATAGTATCTGCAGAGCGATGATGGAGGGGGAAGCCATCTGATCTAGCCACAGGGAGGCCTGGGGATGCCTAAGTCAAAAATGGCTGTTTTGGGCCTCCCTGGTAGTACAAGGGGTTAAGTCTCAGCACTATGAAGCTATCTGCACCCACCATAGCACGAGTTCGATCCCTAGTCAGGAGCAACCCCTCATGGCGCAGCAGACCTCTCCTGTCTCCCCCACTGCTCCCCTCAGCAGTGTATTTCAGTCAGTCCATCTGTTCTGTTCCCCACTCTGTCTCTGGTGAATCCTCTCATCCCCCACACTTCTGGCCTGCACCCCAGTTCTTGTATGCATAAATAAATAAATCTTTAAAAAAAATTGGAACGATGCTTAATATTAAAAAAAAAAAAAGGCTGTTTCCTAAACACACATGCTCAGCTTTCTGCCTCCATGTGCTCATTCACGCATCTCCTCCCATCAGGCCTGCCTTCAGCTGATCTCTTCTGTCCAAACCCCACCATTTCACCAAGGCCCAGAATCCCCCTCTGGGAAGTCTTCCCCGAGCAACCCAGCCCTGGGTGGTGCTCTGTTCCTTGCTTCCCTTGTCCTCAGCCTCCCTCCCGCAACCATTTTGTCCAATTGTGCTCCAGGAGGGCTTTCTCCCCCAGCTGAGTTGTGCCCTGCAGGAAGACAAGATGGGTCTTTCTCCCCCTTGACCACGCACAAGACAGAGGACTCAGGAAGTTCCCAGAATACCTCCTAGATGCGGGCAGGTGAACTGGGAAGGATAGGGTGGGATGGAGCAAGCTCACCTGCCCTGAGAGGTGGGTCATGCCTGAGGAGGCAGCGGGTACCTCTGAGCCCAAGATCCCATTGCTGAAGTTGGGGTCAGCCATAGGGCCAAAGCTGTGGGGCTCCGGGAAGTTTGAAGGCGTGGACGTCGGTGGGGGGCGATAGTTGGCGAAGAAATCTGTAATTCAGATACATAGGAAGAGGTTAGGGCTGAGACTCGAAGCAGTGGGAGGAGAGCAGGCCTTGTGCCCTTGTCCCTAGGTTGGTTGGCTGTGGGGTGGGGGCTGGAGGGGGAGCAGGGGCTTCCACAGGAGATTGTGAAACTGGCAGAGTTTCTGTCTCACTCAGGGGAAGCAGCGACTGAGGCTTGGGTGGGATGGGCCTGAGTGGGAAGCAGCAGAGAACTTCTGTAAGGGTGTGTGCAGGGACCCCAGGAAGCAGCCCTGCCAAGCAGCCCTGTACTTGGCTCATGAGGCACCCCCTTCACTGTCCCCAGGCCTGGGCATTCCCCTTATCTGCTCCCACTGTTACCAACTTCGCTGGGTACATAAAAGGGGCTGGCTGGGTAGTAAAGAGTGCCAGGGAGGGAAAGGGTGAGGTCCAGGGGGAGGAGGTCTGGGATGGGGAGGGGCCCCAGGGTTACAGGAGTTCAAGAGATGAGTCAGGGGTGAGAGAGGTCAGGAGGTCAGTATCTGGAACAAGTTGGGGTTGTTGGAAAGTCAACAGGTGGGGCCTTAAGGTTATATCCCAGGAGGGGTGGTGAAGGGGCTAAGGGGGTGAAAGCAGGGGTCAGAGGTTGATCTCAGACTGGGGGCAGGAGCAAGAGGGTGCTGGAAAGCTGGGAAGAGCTATTGGGAAGGGGCAGCCAGATTGTTTGAGGTGCGGGTTGTGTAAGCCCTGGGCTATTCTGGTTTTGGGAAGCAGCTGCCAGTGGCTTAACCACATCCCGGGCCTGGTTGCCACCCGCCCACCCGCTCCCTTCCGGGCACCTTTCTCTGACCCTGGCTAGCCTTGGGTCTAGCTCCCAAGGCCACTGGTCTGGTCAGACCAGAACCCATGACCTTGGATAGGCCCAGCCCCCCCCAGCCCAGATTGCTGGTAATGCCGCTGTCCCAGGGGCTACCTCGAAGGAGACCCAGGAGTGGCACAGCTAGACCATGCCAAGCCTCAAGGCCAAAGGGAAGGGTTAGGCCTACAGGTACATCTTATGTGACCCCATGTGGCGCTGTATGCCGCTAAGGAGCCAGCTCTGTGCGTGTCAGCATGTGGTCTCACAGCATCTGTGTGACTCTCCCACTGTCTGTAGGACTGAGCCTGTGTGCACCTGACATGGTGACTGAGGTGCTCAGCGTGCGTGTCTGCTCTTCACCCGCATCTGCTCATGCATGTATGTATGTGTGCCTGTGTGTGCAGGTCTACATCTTTCCACCTCCACACGTCAGAGACCATGCACCCTTTAGGCTTGCCACATACTGGGCCTGGCCCCAGAGCAGCTCCCTGCTGCTGCCCACTCCCAAGGGCTCAGCAGGGCTCAGGGAGTAGCCAGTCCAGCTCATCCTTGAATTACCAGCATTCCCTCACCATACCTTTCCTGCTTGTCCCTGCCCTGCACAGAAGCAGCCTCCTAGCCCTAGCACCCACTAAGGCCTGAGCCCCCCCAGCCTCCATTCTGTCCTCTGACAGGCCTCCCCTCCACCAGCCCCTCTCAGGCCCTGAGCACCCTCCCCTTTGCTGAATACCATTCACCAAGCCCTTTCCCCTTCACTGAGTGCCCCTGGTCAGCTCCCTCCTCCATGGGGCTTACCCCTCCTCTGGGTTGTCTCCCAAGTGAAGAATTCTCAGGGACAATCAAATACCTGGTTTCCTGGTACTCCCTGTCCTCCCAGAACACAAAGCATCTGAGGGGTCACGCCAGCCCCCTCCCCTGTGTGACCCTCAGGAGAGGCTGTTCGTGCCACCGACCCCAGCAGCGATCTAGGACTGAGAGAAGTCTCTTCCTAGCCCCAGTTGTCCAGGTTTTGCTCAGAGCCTGAGGTGGGGGTGATTGGGCTCCTACCTGTGGCAGGGGTCTGTGTGCCCAGACAAGTCTGCTGCCCTCCCAGGCCGCTGTGCTCCCAGGGCACTGCCATCAACACTTCTGACCCCACAGCCCCCACCCTGCCCAGGGCTGAGGGAGGGGTGGGGGTGGTTCCTCATTCCCTAGGCCCCGCCTCACCTTTTGAGTGACAGGCCCAGGACCCTGTAGGGAAGTGGAGGGGGCACCCCCTTTCAATTCCCTGACCCTTGGCTGAAATAGGCTGAATGTGCAAGCTGACCCCCAGCTTAGCTTCAGAGCTTCCTAAGTGTATGAATATAGGGAGCAGTCTCCAAGACGTATAGCTAAGCAAAGAAAACAACGTGGGGAAGAGCCCACTGTGAAAAAAAGAGACTTGTCCACATGTGCTGTACAGACATGAGTGTCTCTGGAAGGACACAGAAACCAGTGACCTGGTGGTGCTGGGGGTCAGAAAAAGGAAGAGAGAAAATGCTACTTTTAAAAATGCTTCACAAGATACGATTTCTGGGATCATAAAAATAGCGCAGGAGGGAAGAAGTGGGTAAGGTCCAGGTGAAACAGACTGGCAAAGTTGATAAATGTTGAAGCAGGTAATGGTTACGTTCAACTATTCTCTCTCTACTCTGTGATTATGTTTGAAATGTTCTTTCATAAATAGCTTCTAAAATGAATTATGTAAATACACCCAAACAAACCAAAGTCCCCTGAGCGAGTCCCAGCATCACTGCTTCCCTAAGAGCTCCCAGAGCCTGCAGCTTCATTGTCCCTGACGCCCTGTCCCCTAACCCAGATCCCTGTCTGGCTCTGCTCTCAGCTTAGGCCATGCCAGCTGCCTCCCAAGGCAGAGCCCTCAGAAATTCCTCAGACCATTTGCTCTCCAAGAGGGGCCTGGGATGGGACTGAGGCCTCAGCCAGGCTGGCAATGGCCCTGCCCACCCCCACCAGGGGAGGGGCCTGCCCCACCTGAGATCTCCATGAAGTCATCCAGGCTGGGCTGCAGAGGCGTCAGATCTGGCTGGATCATGTCAGCATTGCCCATGTAGGCTGGAGGGGGCAGTGTGCTATCAGAAGTGGCAGGCAGGGTGGAGTGGGGCACACATCCCCAGCATCCTCCCTGGACCCGCCGCTTGGCCTCTCACAGGCCTCCTTTCCCGGGCACTGGCCCTCACCATCCTCCGGGGGCAGTTGCATGGGTGTGGGGCTGGGCTGAGTCATGGTGAAGAGCGTGTCAGAGATGTCAGACAAAAAGCAATCAAGGTCCAGACGCTGTCGCCCACCAGGCTCCTCCTCGGGGCCCCCCAGTAGCACCGGCACCACGCTGGAGAAGAGCTGCTCGCACCATTGCTCTGGTGGCGGCCACCCCCCTTCCACCTAGGAACACAAAGCCATCAGGAACTGCCCGAGAGCTCCACTGCACCCCACTCCTCTCCACCCTGGGGCAAAGGGGTCTGCCCCGGCCCTTCCATTTTTCTTTGCTGCAGGGAAGGCCAGGGTCACCATCCAACAGTCCCTCCCAGGGGATAGATGGGACAAACCGCTGAAGAGATAAGGGTCCCCTTTCTGCTCCAAATACATTTCTTGCTTGAACCCCCGTTCTCCCCTGCTTCTGCAGGACTTGCCCAGACAACCAGAAAGCTTGTTGTCTTCCCATCGCTGCAAGCACCAAATCTTCCCCTCCCTATGAGAGAAGGGCTCATCTAATCCACTTGGGGACATCAGCCACACCCACTCTGCTCACATCACACCCTAAGCTCTGCCATAGCACTGCCCAGCAAAGGAAGGCTGTCAATTGTCTGAGTACCTACCTGCTTTGTCGCCAGGAGATCCCCTTCCCTGCTGGACTTACGGAGCTGCAGGAACACACAGAGGTGAACACTGGATCCCTTGCCCCCTCCTTCATCACTCCCTGCCAAGGCCTCTTCTATCACATGCTCCCCAGATCTAGGGGTATCCCATTTGCCCTCTGGTGCTCTTCCGCCCTGGGAAGTAAGGAGGCTGCGAGGAGACTCTGTGGCCACACGGTGGCACTGTCATCCTGGGATGGAATGGAGATGGGGTGTGCGGGGTGGGGGGCAGAAGAGGGTGGGGAGGTGTGGAAAACTGGGAGGGCGGGGGGAGGGGGCAAGGTGATGGTGGTGGGGAAAGCAGCCTCAGAGGAATGGTCTGGGGCCTCCCGCTGGGCCCCCACTGACCCGCTTCTTGTAGTAGATGCGCCACTTGTGGTACTCGTGCATCACCACCTCGATGCGCCGCTTCCAGTAATTCCCCTCCAGGACCACGGCCTGAGGAGGGCGGGGCTCAGTGCCAGGGGCCGCACCCTCACCCCTACCACTCACGTGCTGCCCATCTGGGCTAGCCCTTCCCGCACAGTGCAAGGAGAGATGGGAGCAACCAGGGAGGTTTGGTGGGGAGGCAGGTGGGCTGGGAACCTCAGCTACCTCTGGTTTCCGGTGCTCATCAGCCTCTGGTCCTTGCAAGGGGGTCACGAAGCCACATACAGGGCTCTTCCTCCGTTCCACATCTGAGGGAAGGGAACCAAGTCAGGGGTGCCAAGCTCCTTCATCTCCCACCCTCAGGAGCCAGGGACTCATGTGTCATACTCATGTGTCATCCTGCTCCTGCCTGGCATTCAATGCTCAGTTTAAGTGGCACCTCTTCCAGGAAGCCTTTCTGTTTGCACTTGCCCTCCCAGATCTCCCTTCTCTATGCACCCTCTATTCTTTCACCCTGTGAAAGGAACCTCCTCCACCTCCTCTGCTTCTCTTGGGAGCCTAGTAGGTGTGCAGGCAATGCTGGCTGCACGGGATTGTGGGGTGGTCCACAGGAAGGGAACTGCCTCATAAGGTCCTGGTCCGCCTGGCAGGCCCCAGAGCTCTGCTTCAGGCTGCTTGGCACTGCCCACACTCACCCCAGCAAACCAGCTCTGTCCACTTCTGACTACTTACCTGAGCCCTTCCCCATACCCTCCTTGTGCTCCCTGTTGCCATTCTCAGCCCAGACTCCTTCCTTTACCCTATAAACATATCCTGAGCTCTGCTTCTCCTCCCAAACCTTTCCCTCCTTTTTGCTACCCCAACAAGCTAACTTCTTCCCTTTCATCCTGTGGGATTGAGATGGTTTGTCTGAGGATTAGACGTGAAAGCTTGAAGTCTGTGGGGAGTTTTTGTGGCTAGGAGGCAATGTTGGCATCGAGCCATCTAGAGGCACAGGCTTAGGAGGGAAGTTCAGGGAAAACTGCCTCCACAGCAGGAAGATGGGCTGCAGAGTTTGAGGCTGGAGTCAGGGAGACCAGGTGAGAAGTGACAGCAGGCAGGGGGACAGAATAAGGAGGGGAGGGGCTAAACAATAACAGAAAGTCCCAACAGCTCACTTTCAGGGAGATCTTGCGTGTCATGTGTCGGGCCCTGTGCTGAGACACGGGTGCTCTCACTGAAAACTCGCAGCGAAGTCAGACCTGTTATTCCCCCTTTACAGATGAGCAAGCTTTGGCTAGCAGAGGTTGGGACTTTCTCAAGGTCACACAGGTAGGGCTAGACTCAAACCCACTTCTGTCTGACTTAGACCTGGAGTCCTTTCAGCAACTTGTACGACAGCTAGAGACCAGAGTCTGCATGTCTGGGTAAGGACCTCACGTGGCATCAGAAAGTTGTGCTGGGAGAAGACTTTGCATCCATCCCACTTTGCTGGTTATGCGGGATGGGTGAAAGGTGAAGGCTCAGGCAGGATGGTGGGGATACTAACACCTCTGTCCTGGACAGCACCTGTTCTGAGAGTTCTTCGTTGAGGACTGGAACCAACCAGCTGGGAGCAGTGGAAGGAGCACTGGGCTCAGAGTTGGAAAGTCCTGGACTTCCAGCCAGCCACAGCTCTGTGATTTTCATGCCCTGTGACCCTAAACAAGTCACTTACCCTCTGGGCCTCAGTTACTCATCCATAAAATAGGGGTAGTAATACCACCAAGAGTTGCCAGGCAGCCTGAAATAAAATGATTTATGGAAGTGCCAGGCACATCAATGAAGAAAAAGAGGAGAAACTCCCTTTTCTCTGCTTGGATGGAATCCAGCAGGGCCAGTACAGATAATACCATGTGTGATCCCTTTTGGACCTTGTGTTCCCAGCTCAGCACAACCTGTGATCCAGGACCTAACTATTCTGGACAAGATCCCTCCATAGGCCCAGCTAGTCCTAGGAGTCATCCCTGCTGGGTCACATGAGATGGGAGGGTCGAGTAAGACCAACGGAATGACTGACCTCCTCAAAGCGACATCAATTCAACCATAATTTACTGAGCACCAACTTTGTGCCAGGTCCATTCACACCCATTATTCCCATGCCAGCTGTGAAAGGTAGAGCTATTGGCTTCATTTCATAGATAAGGAAATAAGTTCAGAGAGGTTAGACAACTAGCCTGCAGACACACAGCCAGAAAGGGGCGAGACGGGGGAAAAAAATCAGCTCTGGTGACTCCAAGTCCAGAATTCCTTCCACTATGTCACATGGCTCTCTGGGCCTCTTCCCCCAAATCTTCAATGGGGGGCACCTGCTGGGTGTTCAATAAGGACTTCGGTGAAAGGCTGGTAGAGACCCATGCAGGAGCCTCAATTTCTCCATTTGTGAAATGATGTGCTTGGCTCCATTACTGTCTAAAGACTCTTTCTGTCCCAGCATTTGAGACATCTTACACTAATGGGAGGGAGAACAGGCCTTGCAATGTTCCCCAAATCTCAGTCTATCCCGTGACTTCTAAGGGGGACCACTGCTGTCCCCATCTTTACAGTAGACAGCACCCTTGGACTCCCCAAGACCTTCTGGGAATCAGAAGCTCTTCAAAGGGCTTAGTGCAGGGGCCCAGTCTCTTCTAAACACTAGTAGCACCCTGCTGTGCTAGCCCCTGAAGGTCTCTTGAACAGTCCCCATGTGTAGCCCTACTGTTGGGGGTGGAGGGTGGGGTGCTTGCCCACTCACACTGGATATACCAGGCTCTCCAGATGGCGTTGTTGAGGCGAATCTTGTCTCTGCAGAGCAGCTTGAGGCCTTTGAAATTCTTCCACTTGGGAGAAACCAGTTTGCCACTGTCAGAGGGAGAGGGCTGGGTCAGGAGTGCAGAGAAGAGGGAAAGCTGGGCTTCTTCTGCAGGGGTTGGCTCCACACTTACCATACACTGGGCTCTCATCTATGGTGAGCCATTTGAGGGACCCCTAAATCCTGTCCCTCATTCTAACTTGCTCGAAATTCCTACTTGTGTGTCCCCATTAGGTGCCCTTCTGCTCCCTGGGGAGTGCTATCTGTTAATCTACTACCAGAGCCCGCCCTCCAAGGCTGAGACTGTTTATCAGCTCAGTTATCAGAACAGTGCCCTGCAGCCTTGGGCTTACTGGCTCAGGAGGGTTCTTAGACCCAGTCCTAGGGAGGGGAACTGAGGAAAGGAGAAGACTGGCTCAAGATCACATGGCAGAGATTCACTCAGCCCTTGGGGGTTTTTCTCCATCAGTCCTGCTGACCCCCTTAGGCCCAGGCCACGTGGTGATTTGGTGAGGATGGTGCCTCTTTTCCAGCGTGAGCCTTGGAGCAGCCAGTCACTGCCCAGCCCAGCCCAGAATCCCAGATGACAGTCTGGACCGAGCTGGGTGTGCCCCTTCTCAGTGGCATACACAAAACAACAGCCATCAGGGTTCCAAAGAAGGCAGCTAGGATGGTGGCATTGTGGCAGTGAGGAGATGGCGCCGGAACCCTAGCATTCCAACTCCATGAGATGGAGGGGCTCTGCTAGGTGAGGGGCTTGACTTCAGGGTCCTGCTAGGCACAGGTCAAATCTGCCACCTCCAGGGACCTGACCTAAGAAATATTCAGGGTCTCAGAGCCCTGCTGGTCCCTTCCTCCACCCCTCCTCCTGGTTCATAGCCAGGGTTGTATGAAAGTCCTCACTGGCTCACTTCTCCAACTCTTGCTTGTATGGAAGACTGAAACCGTAAGACTTAGTCTTTCAGAAAGCCAGGCCTGCTCTGCAGGGGCCTCTCCCTCATCCTGAGGGTGGGTGGATGGCAGTCGGACTTCTCAGTCCCTTGGGTGCATGGGTCACTGGGTCCCTTCTCCTCTCTGGTCTCCAGGCTCCTGTGTTTGCCTTTGGCTGGGGGTGCTGGGAGGATGGCCACCCAGGGCACAACAGGCCTCATTACCCAAATAGAGTACACAGCCCAAGAGCCCAGGCCCCCTGGCTGGGCTCCTTCCTCCTGGGGTAGATAAGCGCCATCTGTTTAGTAGGGAGACTTCGAGGGGGCACTCTGACACCTCCTGGGCCAGCATCTTTGTGACCCCTGTGGGGGACTCCTGAGTTTGTTGCCCTGCCTGTATCCCAGTAATCTCTCAGTCTACTCTGCCCACCCATTTCCCTGCTGAGGTTTGTGGCCAGGCAGGGCTGGGGGTAGGGGGCCAGAGGAATGGGAAAAAGACAATGTCCAAGGCCCAGGAAGAAAGGATTTGGTGTGTACTGGGCCTGTAGGATGGTGGGGAGGGGAGAGGCCCCATCTGGAGCAAAATGCCTAGTTCCAGGGTTCAAGGGCTTCTTGTGACCAATAGAAAATCTAGAAATCTTGAAGATGGGATGGGGTAACTCCTGCCCCCCCAAACACATCTACCTTGCAAGAATGCCCTTTAGAGTCTCCCCGACAAGGTCATGTTTGCTCGCCCCACTCCCACAGGTAGTCAGCTCTGACCATGAACCAGTATGTTCTTGGAGCTTCCAGAACCTGCCTTCCTGGGCTTCCACAGAACAATGGACACAGGTTTATCCTCCTAGAGGAGAAGCCCTCCCTCTGCCCATGCTGCCCTGCGGTGTGTGGCAGCTGGCTGGGCCTCTGCAGATGCTCCCCCAGGTCCATTTGGCTGGTTCCTCCCAGCACCTTCTGCACCCCCTACCTCATTGTCCCTTCTCACCCTGTCACTCTTTTGGGACACTTGCCTTCTGCTTCTTCCCTTTAGGGAACCTCTATAATCAAGGGTCTTTAAGAGTTAAAATACTCTCCCAGCTTGAGCTTGTTCTTCTCCTCCATCAAATGGGGAACCCAAGGGCTCCTCTGGTAGTGAGCCATCACCCTCCCGAGAAGCTTAAGCTCCTGCCCGGGGCAGGCCAGAGACTTAAAATTTTAGATGTTTAGGGAGAAAACAGTCCTCTCCCCTCAGCTGCTCCCGGTTGGGGTTACATCATCCTCTTGGTAGGGTTGGTTCTTGGAGTGTGCTCTGTCACCCACCACACCACCTTCCCTGGACCTCCTCCTTGGGGTTGGGGAGGGACAGCCCAGGTAGAGCTGTATGTGTTATAAAGCAGGAAACAGAAATTAGAACTAAGTGGGAAGTGGTGGGGGTGGTCTTCAGGGGAACCTGTGAAGGAGGGGTGCCCACATTCTGCGCACTAAGACCTTAGATGCCCTGTCTGAGACAGGCCCTGAAGTCCGAGGGAGGGAGGAAAGGGCCGGGAATTTGAACTTTCCACAGCGGTCCTGAGCCCTGGACGATCAGGTTGCAACATGACCTGGGCCCGGGGCCAGAGCAAGTGGGCCAAGGTTACAACGCCTCCAGCCAATGGGGTCGAGGCTGGGCCGCCTCGCTTGGGGGTGGACAACACTCCCGCAGCAATCCCCCCACCCCAGCTCCCGGTGGCCTTCAAAGCTGCAAGTGTCTGTCTGTAGCCAGCGGTTTTCAGAATGGGAGGAGACGCCGCGGAGGAAGAGGCTTATTTGCGCAGCGGAAAGATCAAGGCCGACCGATACCCCTTTCTCCACTACGGTTTTCGGTTGATAATTTATCCTGGGCCCTCCGCTCCAGGGAACTTTGCTCCAGGGCACTGGGCCAAGACCCCGGTTCGCGCCGTCCCCTGAGCTGCGGGCGTGGAGCGGGCGCCAGGCGTGCCGGGTGCGTCCTGTGACGCGCCAAGCCGGGGGCTCAGGCAGCGTTAGGCGCTGGGCTTCGGTGGAGTCCGGGATAGGCGAGCCCTGGACTTTTGGGCAATAGTCCTGGGCCGCCTGCAGCACCCGCTGCCCAGTCAGGACTAGAGCTCTCGGCGAGCTGCGCGCCCCCGGCTCAGCCCCGGGCACCCACTACCCACCACCCTCGACCTAGCAGATCGAGAACGTGTGTCCCGGCAATTGGGGAAAGAGAGTGGGAGTGGACAGAAAACAGGGTCAGTTTCAGCCAGTGCTGGCCAGAAATTGGGACAACCTCGGGTGCGAGGAGTAATGCCAGGGAGCAGGGAAAGAGTGAGGGGTTTGGGTTCGTTGGGTCTGTAGTTGGCTGGGCGGGATCAGAGAGTGGGAGGTGGGGATGGCTAGATGGCCTGGGGTCCTGGGAGCACGTCGGATGCCCTGTCATTTCTTTGGGGCAGAGGAGCAGGGGCCAGGGAGAGGGGTCCCGTGTGGGCCTACGGAGGTCGAGGTGGAGGGCAGGCAGTGCGCGCCCTGGGGAGGGAGTGATGGTGGGCAGGAATGGGAACCAGGGGGTGCACAAGCCCGCTGGGGGCCAGCGGGCTGGGCCGGGGTCGGAGGATGCTCGGGGCTGGGGCAGTGGAGTGTCTGCTAAGTGGCCCGCAGTCCCGAGAGCAGCGGGAACCAAGACTTGGGACCGGGTGGGGTGTCCGGGGCCCCAGCGCGCGGTCGTCGGGCCCCGGAGCCGCCCTCACCTGTAGGCCAGGCTCATGCACTCGAAGAGGCGGGTGAGTGTGGGGTCGATGCTGCGCGGCCCGAAGTCGACGAGCCCCACGGGCCCCTCCTGGTCGCGCCGCCGGGTCAGCGAGTCACTGTGCGGAGACGACACCATGAAGTGACCGCTGTGGATGACCTGCGAGCGCAGCCGTCCGCCCCCGCTGCGCCGGGCGCTGGGGTCCTCCGAGTCCGTGTCGGAGTCCGAGTCCGGGCTAGGGACGACCCGCGGGCGCTGCAAGCCGGCGGCCAGACCCGCCAGCGCCCCGGCCGTGGCCATCGCCGCCGCCGCCGCGCCCGGGCTCGGGAGCAGCCAGCGCCACCCGGGTGGCCAGACCGGTCTCATTAGCATAGCCCCGCCCCCGTCCCGAGGGACAGTTCGAGGGGGCGGGAGCTCGGGGCCGGCGCGCGCGGGAGCGGACGGGGCGGGGCTTGTATTAGCATAATCTATGCGCCAGGTGTGAGCGCGCAGACCTAGGAGCTCCGCGGGACTGGAATTTGTAAAAGGAGGTCTCTCCCCCTCCAACCCCTGTCCCTGTGCTGTAACCACTTAGAACCCCTGTTGGATCCGTAAAAGGAATCTCCAGAAGAGACAGCTGTCAGTCGTTCACACCTGAGTCTGAAAGCACCTCAGTGCCTGGGGTTTCTGCTTCCAGGGATGCCTTCCCAGAGGCCCTCTCTGTCTTCTCCGTTCTCCTGGCTCACATTCAGCAACCCTCGGTCCTCTCCTAGCTGGTCCTTTCGCCCCCACGAGGGTCTCAGCAGCCCTAGTTAACATAATGATCATCACTACATCCACATAGACGCCCAGGAGGGTTGCGTGGAAGAGTCCTTCGAGGCCCCAGGGTCATTACCAGTGTGGTGGGAGAGGACTGGCTAGATGGAGCCTTGGTCACTGTCCCCGGGCATCCCCTAGGCAGGCAGCATGCTCAGGAGCTTTGGGTTCCACGCCCTACCCCCTTGGCCCATCTTAGGAGCCAACCTACGTTCCTGCTTCTGAAGAAAAAGAAATTCTCTTCTCATTCTAAGAACACAACCAAGCAGTCTAGTCTGGGCCTTCACATCTGTCAACTCCCTGGAGCCTCTAATGGTTCTCAGAGGTGGGGTCCTTGCCCCACTTCAGAGGGGCACAGGAGACCATAGAGTGGAAGCATGCCCTAGTATCTACAGCGGGGCAGCAACAAAGGCTGGTCTGGGCTGTCTCTGGTGGGGCACAGGGGAGGGCTGGAGTCAAAGTCACCACCTTTGGCTTTTTGGAAGGTGTGGCTTACGTGTGTTCACCGGTGGGAAAGCGGAGGAGAAGGCAGCCAGCAGGAGGCTGGAAGTTTGGTAGAGTTCCCTCACAGCACTTTCTTCCGCCACTCCCACGATCAAACCTCAGTGCTCAGGACTGCCTCAGGTGCTGAAATGATTCCCCAAGCCTGCTCACAGGATGGTCCTTCCACCCACCCATGTCCCTTGACTGGTACCATCTGTTCCCGTCAAAGGGCCACCTCACTTTCCCAGCAGCCTCAGCTGTTCTCCTCTACCTGCCCTCTCCTGCTGTCTGCAGGGGCTGCATTCTCCCTGGCCATCCCTGCCAAATTCCCAAAGGGGGGCCTCAGGTGCCCACACCAGCCTGCCTCCCTGCCCCACTTCAGATCCTTGGCATAGAGATCTGTTTGACTTCTCCCCTGGCCTGTGGGCCCTGAGGCTGGGTTTCTGAAGCCCTGCATTGGGCACCCCAGGACTTGGGGAATGCTTAAAAAATGGGGCTAAGAAGAGCTGGTGGCTGCTGTCAGGGGTAGGGACAGGAAGCAGAGGTCCCTCGGAGCCTCCTAGCTTCAGGGGCCCTGGCTTAGACGGTGCACCAAGTCTCAGCTCTGCTGCTAATTCCATGCATGACCTGGGGCAAAACTTTGTTTTTATACAGGGGATCTGCCTCTCCAGATGTAAAAAAGGGAAATCAAATTCGGTGATATCTTAGGGTCCTGCAACTGTCACCTCCCTCGGCTATAGGTGTCTTCTATCAGTGTCCCCAGCTCATCCACCACGCTCCGGAGCCCTTATCCCCCAGAGTTGTCTCCTATGGTTCAAAAGGCTTTTCCCTGAGTCAGGTCTTTAGAAGGTGGAATATTTCTTCCACCCCATGCTCTACCTCTTCCCTGAAATCACTTGGCCCTCAACAGACAGCTGTACCCCATTTTTGCCCTTCTCAGGGCCTGATACCACCTCTGGAGGCCTAAGCACTGAAAAGACAATCCCTCTCTGTGTAATTCAAAGCAAAACAACATTACATTGTACAATAAATTGAGGAAGTCCACAAATTCTGATATCTACCTTGAAGAAATCTTTGATTTTTAAAAATATCAATTTATCAATTTTTCTGAAAAATGTTTTAATGCTCAAACCTTGCTGGAGCTTTGAATACATGCCTCACTTCCCCTATTCCAGGCACTGTGTCCAGCACTTTGAATCATGGTCTCTAACCTGGCAGAGTAGGTAATATTGCCTCCATTTTACAGTTGAAACAGACACAGAGAGGCGAAGAACTTGTTCAAGCCCTAGCTAAGAAAAGACAGAGTCAGGCCTGCCTCTGGAGTCCAGGCTCCTTCACCTATGAGGTTGCTGCTGTCTCTTCTTAGATATGATTCCACCCACAATCAGCAGGACAAGTCAAACCAGCTGATATGAAGGGGGCACAGCCCGTCTGGTGACAGTGAGCTGGGCTGGGATCACCCTCTTGTACCCTTTCCCATTTGATCTGTATCCTTCAGTGTTCATAACCTGTCATGATGAATAAGTCTTGTTCACTGCCTGGGAAGGTACAGATTGAGGTTCTGAGTAAGATGTGAAGATCTGGCTGTCCCTGACATTCTGCCTGAAACCACACACTCCCTGTCTCCCAACCTTAGTTCTCACATTCCTCTCTGGATGAAGAGCTCCCCTGTTCTCAAAGTAGCACCTCCACCTTCAATATCTTCCCAGAGTCCCCACATCCCTTGTTCCCATACAACCCTAATTTCACTGGACTCTGCAAATGGTGCACATGCCTCCCTTTGCCACTAGATGGCGAATTTCCTGAAAGCAGGAATCATGCCTCTCTCTCAACTCTTTTCTTCTAATGGGTATTTGTGGAATGAATGAGTTTTTATCTATTAAGTACATCTATCTATCTATCCATCCATCCACCTATTTATCTACCTGTAATCTACCTATCTATTAATCAAACAACCAATCATCTATCATTCTATATCTATAACCTATCAATAATCACCCATTATCTATATCATCCATCCGTTCATCTATACACACACACACACACACACACACACACACACACTCACACACAGAGAGAACCCACTAAAGTGCATAACTGACCCAGTGAGAGGTATTTCACTTTGCAAGAGTTAAAAAATATAGAAAGACAAAGATTCATAACTTTCAATATCCATAGAAATAAAGAATAGATTCAGCAGCTGCAGGGTTTAGGAGTAGTGTGGTGGGAAAATGGGGAGTGACTGCTAATGAGCATGGGGCTTCTTTTAGGATTGATGAAAACGTTCTAGAATGATATAGTGGTAATGGTTGTACAGCTTTGTGACTACACTAAAAAACACTGAAAAGGATGAATTTTATAATATACGTGCCTATCTCAGTAAAAAATTAGACAATTTTATCCTTACTCCATTTACTGACAATCCTCTCGGCTATGTGTATATGTGGGTGTGTTAGTGTTGTTATTGCCATTTCACATAGGGGGAAGCTGAGACCCTGAAGGGTGTCAGCCTTCAGAGAGCTGTTGTGAGAATAATTTATAAATAGCTAATACTTATGGAGCACTTGCTACCTAAGGTCTTTGGAGTCTTCATGATAGCACCATGACTTATAGTGCTTTTTGTGGACAAGGAAAGAGGCTTTGCCAAGGACCACAAGGTAAGAAGAGAATTGGGATCCAGGCACAGGCAATCTGACATACATAGATACCTTCCCAAATGAAGAGAACTAGAACTTCATTCCGTGCCACTACTAGTGTGCCTTGGCAAATCACTCTGCAAAGCTATTCGTCAGTATCTATGAGAGCTCAATATCCACATACCTTATGCCCCAGCAAGTCTAGAGAGATGTGTACCCGTGTGCGCCAAAAGACACAAACACATAGGAGTCTGTTCATAGCAGCGATATTCTTATTAGCTCGATGTCGGAAAAGACCCAAATGTCTATCAACAAGCAAAGTGATAAATATATCGCCTTCCAGTCACACGATGGAATACTAACACAGCGGTGAGAATGAACACTCCACAACCAGATGCAACCAAGTGCATGAATCTCCCTGGCAATATGTTGCATAAAAGAAGCCTGAGACGTGGACGTATATATCCTCTAAGGTTTCACTTATATAGAGCCCAAAATGGGCATTTATATAAAGCTCCAGAATAGGCATGCTGTGTGCCAGGAGTCATGGTTTGATCAACCTTGGGCTGACTAGAAGGGGCTTTCTGGGGTGCCACTAACATTTGTTTCTTTATCTGGGTATGGGTTTCATGGGTATGCTCTCCGTGACAATCCACTGGGCAGGATGTGTATACTTTTCTATGATTGTTAGATTTAAAAGTATTTAAAAAGAGAAATTGAGTTTGTACACATGAACATTCACAAAACCAGTCATTCCACCTCCCAGATACTGAAGCTGACCTTGGCAAAGGGTGCATTGGGCATCTAGGTGGTGGAGGAGGAGATGCGTCATCAGTCCCAAATGTGGACTTAATAAGCGGGGAGATCACTGAGTGAGTTAAGGAGGTAGAGGCTGGAGAGCTGGATGACAGTGAGAAAGAGGAATCTTTGTATCTCTAACTGGAAGCAAGATGGGAAGTCACTTCCAATATCCAAACCTTAGTTTCCGTATCTGTAAAGTGGGTGAACAAATTACAAAGGAAAAATTGATAAATATGGCTAAAGTGAGGACGTTAGGTCAGATTAGTTTTCATATCAGCAGAATCCAATTAGTCTATCAAAAAATATGAGTTACAACATATTTTCCTTCTTAAGAAGTACGCTCCATGTTTATAGACTCTGCTTCTATATTTATGTTTAGTGATAAACATAAAGAAGCCATCATTATTATTTTTGAAGAAGATTTTATTATTTTTGCATAGAAGGCCAGAGGTGGTGGGGCGAGAGGATTCGCCAGAGACAGAGTGGGGAACAGAACAGGCAGATCTACTGAAATGCACTGCTGAGGGGAGCAGCGGGTGAGACAGAAGAGGTCTGCCGTGCCATGCGGGTCACCTCCCTGCTGGG